TCAGCAATCTCCCCGTCCGGTCTGTTTCCGAGATTCCTTCGTAGTAAAATTGCAAGTTTGAGGTCCCCCATTTTACTGCAAAGGAGTTTCAGAAACAACTGGTTTAATCAGAGTCTCATGGAGATAGATGAAGACGGGTAGCTGTGTTAGTCTGTCTGTACCAGTAGAAAAGAGTCCAGTAGCACCTTAAAGACTAACAACATTTGTTGTAGGGTATGAGCTTTTATGAGCCGCTGCTCACTTCAGCGAGCAGTGACTCACAGAAGTTCCTACCTTCCACAAATCTTGTTAGTCTTGAAGTTGCTACTGGATTCTTTCCTAAGATACGTGTGGCTGGCTTTTTGAATGTCTGAAGGCTCTGGTGCTTTTAGCCTTTAGTCCAGGGGTGTCCAACATGCAGCCCGGGGGCCGAATCAGGCCCCCAGAGTGCTTCTATCAGGCCCGCAGTGGAACTGGCTGTCTTCTGCTTCTTCTTCCAGTTCTGCTGCTGCTGCTGCTGCTGCTGTCATCATAGGTTTGCAGCTTACAGATACACACCTGAACAGCATATTCAGGACTGCAACACAGCACCGACATTTTGATGCAGTGATTCAGAGCAAGAGGTGTCAGTTATCAGACACTGTTCAATAAACAAAATATTGCAAGAGTGCTCATGTTTTAAGCACGTTTTTATTTTAAGTAAAAACCCCCACCCTTTGTGTTTGTGTCCTTTATAAAGTGTATATCTCCACTACCCGGCATTACATTTTATGACACACGTGGCCCAGCCCAACAAGGTCTCAGTTATGTCAGATCCGGCCCTCATAACAAATGAGTTCGACACCCCTGCTTTAGTCTGAAGGATCAGGTGCTCTTTCCCAACCAGGAGAGGGCAACCCTAGGCCTATCAGCCAGGATGCCTTAAAAGGGAACCTCTGAAGCCAAAGGCAATTCTACCTCCAAACAGGTGCAAGGTTGCCGCTGTTTCCCTCTACGCATGGCAGATGGATGCCACAGGGCTCTCACAGTTGCCAACCTCCAGGTGGGACCTGGAGTCCTCCTGGCATCGCAACTGGTCTCCAGAGATCACAGTCTCCCTGGAGAAAATGTCTCTTTTGGAGGATGTTCTCTATGACATGATCAACCAACAGGAGGTGAGTGTGGGGGGGGTAAGATTGCTAGATCCAGGTTGGGGAAACGCCTGGGAATTTGGGGGTGGAGACTGAGGAGGACAGGGACCTCAGTGGGGTATATTGCCATGGATTCCGCCCTCCAAAGCATCAGTTTCCTCCAGGGCAACTGATCTCTATAGTCTTGAGATGAGCTGTAATTCTGGGGTATCCCCAGGTCCCATCTGGAGGCTGGCATCCGTCCTAAGGATTGCCATCTCCTGGTTAGGAAATTCCTGGAGATTTGAAGAGGAAGAGAAGAGATTGGATTTATACCCCGCCCTTCATTACCCAAAGGAGTCTCAGAGCGGCTTACAAACTCCTTTCCCTTCCCCTCCCCACAACAGACACCCTGTGAGATAAAAGAAGAAGAAAAGATTGGATTTATACCCCGCCCTTCACTACCCAAAGGAGTCTCAGAGCGGCTCACAAACTCCTTTCTCTCCCCCTCCCCACAACAGACACCCTGGGAGGTAAAAGAAGAAGAAGAGATTGGATTTCTACCCCGCCCTTCACTACCCAAAGGAGTCTCAGAGCGGCTCACAAACTCCTTTCTCTCCCCCTCCCCACAACAGACACCCTGGGAGGTAAAAGAAGAAGAAGAGATTGGATTTCTACCCCGCCCTTCACTACCCAAAGGAGTCTCAGAGCGGCTCACAAACTCCTTTCTCTCCCCCTCCCCACAACAGACACCCTGGGAGGTAAAAGAAGAAGAAGAGATTGGATTTCTACCCCGCCCTTCACTACCCAAAGGAGTCTCAGAGCGGCTCACAAACTCCTTTCTCTCCCCCTCCCCACAACAGACACCCTGGGAGGTAAAAGAAGAAGAAGAGATTGGATTTCTACCCCGCCCTTCACTACCCAAAGGAGTCTCAGAGCGGCTCACAAACTCCTTTCTCTCCCCCTCCCCACAACAGACACCCTGGGAGGTAAAAGAAGAAGAAGAGATTGGATTTCTACCCCGCCCTTCACTACCCAAAGGAGTCTCAGAGCGGCTTACAAACTCCTTTCCCTTCCCCTCCCCACCGCAGACACCCTGCGAGGCAGGCAGAGCTGAGAGCGCTCTGACAGAAACGGCTCTTTTTCAAGAACAGCTGTGCCAGAACTATGGCTTGTCCAAGGTCATCCAGCAGCTGCAAGTGGAGGAGTGGGGAATCAACCAGTCCGCGCACTTAACCACGACACCAAAGTGGGGTAGAGCCTGGGGCGGGCACGGACCTCTGTGGGGTACAATACCAGAGAGTTCCCCCTTGAAAGCAGCCGTTTTCCTCTAGTTTAGTCGATTTCTATCACGCTCCATTTCCTGCAAGCAGGATTCAGCTGGGTGTACAACATGTAACATACATAATCAGGACTTTTTTTGTAGAAAAAGCCCAGCAGGAACTCATTGGCATATTATGCCACACCCATGACAGCACAGCGCATTAGCATATTAGGCCACACCCCCATGTTACCAGAAGTGTGGTCATCCAGCCACACCCACCTTTTGCTTCTTATTCTGTTTACCTTGTTTGTTGTCAAAACCCAGGGCTTTTTTTGGAGCAGGAACTTCTTTGCATGTTAGGCCACACACACCTAATGCGGCCAATCCTAATGAGTTTCTGCCACTGGGTGTGGCATATTATGCTAATGAGTTCCTGCTGGGTGTGGCCAATCCAAAAATAGCCCTGTACATAATAATAATAATACATACAGTCCCATTAAAATTAGATGGCGACGGCGTATTTCGGTTAATTTATTGATTACTGACGTGTCTTCGTTATTGCGCTATGTTGCGCTCTCTTATAAATAAATAAATCCCGTTATGGTTACGATGAGAACATGCAATAAACAATTAAAAGAAAACTGCTGCCGTCGTATGTCCGTCCCACAAATAGCTGAGGTGGCTAGCCTACAGTCCATATTCCACTCCTGATGAGCGTCTTAAACAGGAGAGAGTAGAAAATAAAGGAGGGGGGTGGGGAAGGACCTTGGGAAGCCACGGATCTCTGTAATCTAGTGGAACTGATCTCTGTAGTCTGGAGATGAGCTGCAATTCCGGAGGGATCCCCAGGTCCCCCCTGGAGGCTGGCATCTGTACGAAGGGTTGCTAGCTCCTGGTTAGGAAAGTCCTGGAGATTTGGGGGTTAATGCCTGGGCGGGGTTGGGGGAAGAGTCCCCCCTCCAAAGCATCCATTTCTCTGGGGGAACTGATCTCTGTAGACTGGAGATGAGCTGTTATTCCAGGGGATCCCCAGGTCCCACCTGGAGGCTGGCATCTGTACGAAGGGTTGCTATCTCCTGGTTAGGAAAGTCCTGGAGATTTGGGGGTAGAGCCTGGGTTGGGCAGGGTGGGGGGGAAAGTCCCCCCTCCAAAGCATCCATTGTCTCTGAGAGCCAGTTTGGTGTGGTGGTTAGGTGCCCGGACTCTAATCTGGGAGAGCCGGGTATTTGATTCCCCACTCCTCCACTTGCACCTGGCTGGATGACCTTGGGCAAGCCGTAGTTCTGGCAGAGCTGTTCCTGAAAAAGAGCGGT